TTCTGAGGTTTTCTTCAATTTATTTCTTTAGTATTCTGTAGTTTTCACTGTAGAGGTCTTTCACCTTTTTTGTTAGAATGATTCCCAGGTATTTCTTTTTTTTTTTTTTTTTGAGGCTATTTGAATGGTGTAGTTTTCCTAATTTCTTTCAGTAAATTCATTGCTGATGTATAGGAATGTGTTTGATTTATGTGTGTTAATAAAATATACAGTTTTTAGAGGGAATGCTTTCATTTTTTTCTCCATTTAGAATTATGGTGGCCTTGGGTTTAGCATATACAGCTTTTATAATGTTGAGGTATATTTCTACGATCCCTAGTTTTTCTAGTGTTTTGAACATGAAGATGTGCTATATTTTGTCAAATACTTTTTCTGCATCAATTGAGATGATCATATGATTCTTGTTTTTAATTCTACTAATATGATGAATTATGTTTATTGATACCCATATGTTGGACCAACCCTGCATCCCTGGGATGAATCCCACTTGATCATGGTACACTATCTTTTTAATATGCTTTTGTATGCAATTTACCAGAATTTTATTGAGGATATTAGTCTGAAGTTTTCTTCCTTGATGAGTCTTTGGTTTGGTATCAGGGTGCTATTAGCCTCATAGAATGAGTTTGGAAGAGTTCCCTCCTTTTCTATTTCATGGAATCCTTTGAGATGATTAAGTTAGAGGAATTTTCGGGCTTGGCTTTAGACTTTCATGAGTTGGGCTAATGTTGACTCAATAGACCCTGAAGGCTTTCCTGTTTAAGAGCACTGCTGTCATTCAGATCTCTTCACCCAACTCTCTGTGTCACAGGCATCAACCATGGACCTGTAATAGCCGGTGTCATCGGAGCCCAGAAGCCACAGTATGATATCTGGGGCAACACCGTCAACGTGGCCAGCAGGATGGACAGCACTGGAGTCATGGACAAAATACAGGTGATTCCCCCTCCTTTCATCTCTGACCAAGTCTGTCCTCTTAGAAACCAGTCGTAAGTACAGTGATAGTGTCCATTATATAATAATCCAAAAGAAAAAAGTAGAATTCCTTAAGCCTTTCACTGAGGAAATGTTCCTTCTACACTTTCTGTTAGCAACAACAACGAAATTCTAATAATATGTTTTAGTCGGCTTTTTTCACTGCTGTGACCACAAGACCTGACAAGAACAATTTTAGAGAAGGAAAATTTTATTTGGGTTTCACGGTCTCAGAGGTCTCAGTCCATACAGCCAACAGCATTGCTCTGGGCCCAAGGTGAGGCGCAGCATCATGGCTGGAGGATGTGGAGGAGGAAATGCTCAGGACATGGGATTAGGAAGCAGTGAGAGAGCTCTCCCCTCCCCAGACAAGATATAAACCCCAAAGGCGTGTCCAGAGTGATCCACCTTCTGCAGCCACATCCCACCTGCCTGCACTCACCACCCAGCTGACCCCTTCAGGGGATTTGTGTACTGATCCAGTTAAGGCTCTCAACCAATCATTCCTCCTCTGAACCTTCTTGCATTGTCTCACACATGAGCTTTGGGGGACACCTCACATCCAAACCAGAACAAAACAGAAAGGCGATGCACTCAGGAAAACAGCGGTGGCCTGGCAGTGACTCACGTGGCAGTGGGTAGCCCAGAGCCTTAAGAACAGGCGTGCTGCCCTCCCTCCTCTTCCTTCTCCCAGGCCCAGCACCTGGAAAAGGGCTTGGAAGGGAGAGGGATTGGGATGTGCAGCTGAAATCACCCAGAACCCGGGCCTGCCCCTGCCCGCCCTCCTGGGAGGGAAGGCACTGAGCTGGAATTGGAAGGAGGAGAGAAGGAGAAAACTGGCAGGAGGTGAGACACAAAAATGAGGCAGCATGACATGGCCCAACTCAGCCTCGCGTTGGATTTGGAGGGCCAGAAGTGACCAGCAGCTCTGGGATCCACCCAAGGGAGAGAAAGGGAAGATCTAACGTTCAAAATCAATTTCATAAAGTAGCTCTAATTACAATAGCACGGCTCATATTCTAGAAAAAAAAAACAATTTTAAATTGCTGAAAAGATAATAGGAAAAATTCTGTTATTGGAACACTGCTGAAACTGACCCCAGGGCTGCAGTAGAGCAGTGGTCAGTCTGGGACGGAAGGATCAGGGGAGCAGGAGAGTGGGGTGGGGGGCTCTGGGCAACCCTGCCCTAGAGTCCTCTTTAACTTATTCCCAGACACTGCCCAGCCCTCCACGTGCTGAGCCCAGCTGCGGCTGGAGCAGGGTGCTTCAGACACAACGTGCCCCTCACATAGCACATGATGCGTGGGAGTCAGCAGCTGGCCTCGGAATCACAGCTGGGTGGCTGCCGGTGTTAGTGCCCTGGGAGAGGATTCCTCTGGTCTGCTGAGGAAGGAACGCCCATAGTCTGTAGGAGCAGGAGTTCAAGACGCAGACATGGGCCCACCTGTGAAGAGGACCTTGGGAGGGACGTGAGGGGAGTCCGTAGAGCAGAGGGGAAGGGAGCTCCAGGGCATTTTCAAGGTCACAGGGTGGAGGTGGATATTGGAGCAGGCAAGGCCAGAGAGGGCTCACAGAGGAGGGTGTCCATTGTACTTATGGGGGAAAAGAAGAAGAAGGGCACAGGGTGGAATCAGGAAGCTGCAGCTCACTTCAATACTTGAAGAACTCAACTAAAAAACAGGATAAAAACAACTGAAGAGTGTGTGTCACTGTATTTTACCCTGAATTATTTTAATATATGCAGAATGATAAACACATTCCCAAAGTTGAGGTGTCACTTTTAATGTATTTACAGCCAAAGTCATTTTGCACTGTGGTTTGGAAATTTTGCTTAAATTTTGGCTACGGATGACCTTTATTATCCCCATCCTCTGCCCCATGCCCAAATCCACTCCATGTGTTTTGACAGATTATGGAATTTGACGGAATTCTGCCATGACATTGTACTAGTCCTCCTGAAGCCTGCTGCCATAGTGACTGGACACAAGCACACTATCTGTTCCCCACGGAGGACTAAGTCCATCCAAGAGCACAGAATGTGTTTCAGTGAACAGTCTGGGGACACCTAGATTTTATGGCCCTCACCATCTTCAGGATTCCAGCTTCATGCCTAGAAATTAGTGAAAACAGTCTGCCTCTGGGTGAACAAACACCAGTGAACTGATCACCACCCACCAGGACACACGCACCCCCTGGGCACATGCCCAATGCCTAGAAAGAAGCACTGTGTTCTCCAAGTGAGAAGGAAGGGTGTGCGCAGGTGCACATGCCTGTGTGCGGGGGTGCACCTTTGCTGAGCTTCCTATTTGCCTCACCCTCAAAAAGCAGTGGTTTTACGTTTCCCCCAGCTACGTTGCATTCTGGAAGATAAATTCCTGCTAAAGGGCATATGTGTATGAATGTCCCTGGGCACACACGATCATGGCCGTCTCTTTGGGGATGTTGATGAATCTCTGTGCTGTGCTTCAGCTTGGCTAAGGTCCTCAAGTACCATTCACTCACCATCATCAAGAATGGATTTTTCATTAAACCTCTACTTACTCACCTGCCTCTCAATGCTGTTCCACCCCCAATATTCACTCCAATATAGTTTTGATTTTTATATGAAATGGAGCCAACGTTGCCTCTAAGTGTTTGCCTTCTTCCACTCTGATTATTAGTCAAGAGTTATTTCAAAGAAATCAAAATTCCAACCAAGAGAGGGCAAAAGTTTTAAAGAAAGAAAAAAGATAGAAAACTAATGGGATGCATTAGGAGAGAATTCTCCAAGATCCCCCCCAAACCAACTGGCCATTGCCAAGGGACAAGAGAAGGCTGGTTTCTCCTGAGATTCAGCTCAGGGTAAACTTGCAACATCTGCTCTGAGCACCTCCCCTCTCCCTGGCAGTCTAAGAAGTAGGACTCCTCTGACGGGGGCTGCAGCTTCGGTCATCACCTATGGACACTGCCCAGAAGCCCACCAGAAGGGGAGTCGGGCATCTCGGCAGCCTAGTCTCCTTGTTCCCCAGTGGTACCAAGGCTTCCAGGACTTTCTCCATAAGCATCCCTAGCCACTGATAGTGCCCAAGGAAGCCCCAACAATCCTGGAAAACCGGGGTTCTTCTCTGTTGGGGTTAGACAGGCATGTCCCTTCCAAGGACATGTAAAGGTTTTATGGACCTATGTGGTTCCCACCATATACTCAGAACATGCAGGAGATCAATGGTGGTTTCTCATGTGCTTTGCAACTTTCCATGAGGTTTTCCAGCACTTGGGTAAATAGGAATCAAAAGCCTCTAAGTGAGGCTGTCCGTCATGGAGATCCTCAATCCCCAGGGGTCAAGGCTGAGGTGGAGTCAGAGCTCCTGTGTCTCTAAGAGGACCTGGGGCCTCCTGATTCTCCACATGATGCAGTGCACATCACCACCTGGAAGCTCCTCGTGCACTCTGACCCAAGATGGAGACAGGAAAGGCTTCTTCCCATTGCCAGGGAAGTGTGCATGCAGGCTGCCCTGAGCTCAGCAGTCAAAGCTGGGCGTTCACAGGATTCCTTCTCCTGAGGGTGCAGCTCACTCTGGCTCCGGTGGCCTCCTCTTACATACGTGCAAAAGCAGTAGTGAGAAGACAGGAAAGGTCAAAATGATGCTAAGACCATGGTAAAACTGCTCCTGGGCCAGGGAGTGAACCCAGAGTGCTTGACACTATGCAACATCCCTAGCCATTATTATTATTATTATTTTTAATTTTGAGACAGGGTCTCTCTAAGTTGCCAAAGCTGGCCTCAAACTTGGATCCTCCTGCCTCAGCCTCCTGAGACCCTGGGCTTACAGGCATGTGCCACCATGCCCAGAAGAACAGGCTCTTTTAAAAGCATCACACTCACTGTGCTTTCCAGCTCAAGGCCCTGAGAGTGGCCTAGAAAGCCCTCTTGCTCAGCAGCCCACCCGGCTCCCCTAGACCTGCAGCAGTGATAGCTTCCGTTCTCAGAGCACAGGGCCCTGAGGGTTCTGATGAGCCTCCCCCATCGTCCATGGCAGCGTCTGCCCTCAGGACCTCTCTCTGCCTCCCTCAGCACCCAGCTGAGGAGGTGCCCCTGACCTGTGGACAGGGCCTCCAGCTGACTCCTACCACTGCACCGTCCCCTGGGGGCATCCACACCAAAACCAAAACTCAGTTGTACTGCTTCTGTGCTGCGCACAGCCTCACAGCTGTGCCAACGCTGTGAAGCACAGGAGTGTCACCCACATGTCTGGGGTGGCCAGGGCCCACAGATGCCTCTGCACCGGGGCCTTCTCTAGTGAGTGGGAGAAGAGCCCTTCTGTCCCCCATGTCTTTCTCACGTGGTACCAAAGCAGCAGTGCTCAGCAGAGACGAATCTCTCCCTCCCAGCCCAGGCCCCACGTGCCCCTGGGGGAGTCTGGATGGAGGCCCGGTCCGCCAGGCGATCCTCCCCACCTCTGCAGCTGAGCCCTTGTTCTTAGACCACAACTGGGACCCTCACCAGGGTCTGCGCAAGGGAATGCCATCCGCAGGAGGCCCCCCAACACTCTAGCAGGAGGACCCCACACAACCTGGGGCCTCGGCCTCAAGAGTGGTCCCCAGGAGAGCCAGCTCACGCTCCAGCTGAGACAGCGGGGGGCTGAGCACAGGGCAGTGCTGCTCACTCAGAGGGAAGCCCCTACCCCGCAGGAGGCTCCCCTCTGTGTGAAGACAGGACTGAATGTGACCAGCAGCTGGGCCACCTCAGGACACAGTGAGTGCTGTCGCGGGCAGGGGCGGGCAGGGGTTCCTCCGGTATCAGCCTCGTCAGTGCAGGGGCATGAGGAAGCTCCCAGGACCCAACACAGAGTGCCACTGTCACCCTAACTCACGTCCCCTGGCTCCCTTAGTTCCAGGTCACTTCATGGGCCTAACACCTGAGAGAGAGGCCACTGCAGCAGCCCCCTCCTGCTCGGGCGCTTTCTCCATCTGCACTGAGAACACACTGTTAGTCTTTATGACTCGTGTCTTATGGAGTAACATTATGATGGCCTGGGAGCGTCATCCTAAATCCCAGGCTCCAGCATTATTCTGGTTTGCCTTCTTTCCCATAGTTCTCATCTGTGTGGACACAGAGTTTCACATGGTTGAAGTCCCACCTGATCCAGTTCCTTCCTGTGAGAAGGCTTAGCATTAGCGCATGGCTTCATCCATGATGTCAATCGTGGGAGCACCGCAGGTTCCTTGACCCTGGAGGTGACTTGAACTTTAAGTTGTTTACAGTTTTTGCTATCCCGGCACTGAACTCCACACGCAGCCCTTGAACTGTCCTTCGGGTGGAACACTCCCTCTTCCTGCTAACTCCTGAGGGCCAGGGGTGCCAGGTTCTTGTGGCTCTTCAGCCTGCACTGGGGTGGGTCCTGACACCTACATCTGGTTCTGTGCTCCACAGGTCACTGAGGAGACCAGCCTTGTCCTGCAGACGCTTGGATACACCTGCACATGTCGGGGGATCATCAACGTGAAAGGAAAGGGGGACCTGAAGACGTACTTTGTGAACACGGAAATGTCCCGGTCCCTTTCCCAGAGCAATGTGGCATCCTGAGGAGTCGCTTCGTCCTGGCAGGAAGACTGTGTTTCCCGGAAGGTGCCGCGCACTTTCTGACCACGACTCTTGCCCCCTCTTGATGTGCGTGCTCTGTCCCGTCCCGTGGAGCCCTTGCAGACTCGTTCCTGTGACCCAGTGGCATACCGTTTGGTGTCTGACGTGTGCCCAGATTGTTCTGCCACTTGCACTGTGCTTACTCCTAAGCAAAAGGAGAGAGATGAGCGGCGTGGAAGGAGAGCCTTCAGAGAGTGACAGAGGAGAGAGGTGAAGCAAACACAAATTCTTAAGGCAATAAAACTGGGGGGTGTATATTATCTTCTGGTGCATGTTCTTTTCTGGAAAATACGGTAGCTCGCCAACTGCATCCGCTAGCCGATATTCGAAAACACAGTATTTGTGAATAAGTTGATTCCGTCTCCCCACATGGAGTCTGTGCTCCCCCACCTGCGTCTTGTCGCCAGTGGTCATCCACGGGCCCCAGCGGGGACCCGGGGCTCTGTTGTGTCTCGCGCCAGTAGCACGTTGCCATCCATCACCAGAATTAGTTCCTACAGCCTAGGACCAGTTTTGTACCAAACATGTCTCATGTTTTGACGCCATTTGTCTTTTGTAAGGTTAATTCATTAAAGGTTTTATGTACTTTGGCTTAGAGTGACCGCATCTCTTATTTCACCTTCTTCTTCCTGTGGTTTGCTCCAAGATTAAAGTTTGTTTTCTGTCATCCTCCATTTTGGCCTGGTTGTTTCGCAGAGCCCTCCGGAAGCCGCGACTGAGATACTCTTGGTCATTCGGATGGGGACAGAGTGACACAGATCATTGATGACACTCCCCCTGGAAGGAAGGAAAGTGCTCCGTGCTCTGTGTATCTCATAGTCTGGTTCTAAATTTGGCACCTCTTTAGAATATTTTCAGGGGAAAATGTTTTAAGAGCAAAAAGATTGTGCAAGCTACAGAAGCCCCTCTGTCCACCAGGCTCCTGTCTACGGTGACACTTTGTTAGAGCTAGCAGACTCAGACTGCATGGGAAGAGTCTGGGACCAGCTCTGCTGACCAATCAGTCTGAACCGACGGAGACGAGCTGCAGAGGTCCGCAGCTGCCCACCACATCTGAGGTGACTCAAGGAGACGGGAGCCAGGGTTCATGCATCTGTCAAGAGAGAAGACCTGGAAGCATTTGGTCTTGCAAACCCACCACTAAATTTTTTTTTCTTTTAACTTATACTTTTCTAAATAGTGAAAAACAGAGCAGTGGTGCTTAATCTAATGTTTAAAAGCAAAACTGCAAGTAATGGTCTGGTTGGACAAACTTGGTTTCTTTTTGTAGCTCAGGGCATGAGTCTGTAAGCAGCAGAGGACCCAGATGTGGTTCATTAGTGAGGACCTAGACATACATACCCATCTCCAGTCTAGATCCTGGCTCTGATTTTTACTGTCTGTGTGACTTGGAACACGTCACTTAACTCCACTCAGGAATATTTTCCTCCTTGATAGTTCATGGGATCAGGCTGTGATTAGAGGAGCTAATGACTGTAAGGGGGTCTGGCAGGTCCCTGGGCTCCTGCCAGGGTGCTCACAGCACATACCAGCTGCCGTGCCAGGCCTTGGACTCAAATCTCTCCTTCATTACTCAAGTGTGAAGCTGGTGTGACTTTTTCAAATTTTCTGCCTCTATCAGGAATTTTTTGATCCTGAAATCACAACTCATCCTTGGCCTTAATACACCTAAATCTCCACAAAGGTGACTGAAGCAAGAAAAATATTGTACAGGCATTTCTCTTCCCTCTTAGCTAAGATACGAAGAGTCTCAGTGAGTTCAAATTGGCCTCATCATTCGCAGTGATGGTCAGGAGAAGCACCTGGTGGACGCTTTTCCCCTTCCTAGGTCACTTTAGCTCACCTGTCCTGGTAAACTCCTACAGCCGAGCAATTCACCGTGCTCTCAAACAGTCCCCCACAGATCTACTGAACTTGACTTGGTGGTGAAAAGAACCCAAATTGAGAATCCTCTCCCGAGGCTATATCCCTAGTCTGACCAAACAATAGACTTTGAAAGCAGCTGAGGTCCTTACCAGAGCTCTGTCGTGTGGCCCTGTCCAAGCGGGGTCCCACGCAGCAGCACTGGTGTCACCCACCGGGAGACTTGTTAGAAAGGCAAATTCCCAGGCTCTGCTGAAACTGCTGAATCAGAAATCCACCCCAGCAACATCTGTGCTTCTGTCAGCAAGTCCCCAGATGACTCTGATTAGTCATGCAGCCTGAGACCCCCTGCATGTTAAAATGAGAAGACAGCTAAGAGCAGCCCAGTCCCTTGTTCAGAGTTATGCAGATGCTCAGAGGCCAAGGAAAGACTAGGGTGGAAAACTGCTGTTTCCGAGATCTCAAGGACAGACACTCCTGGTGGGAGCTCCTTGATCTCTGAGCAGCTGAACACGTCTCTGTGAGCAAGATGCCAACCAGAGGACTCATGGTGCACCTCCACCAGCCCATCGCCCACCACTGGTGTCGTGGATAACCCTCCTCAGAGCTCTCTGCCCCCTGTCGGCCTCACAGGAAGTCTTCTCTCCTGAGTGACACCTTGAGTCCTGCCCCCTTAAGACTCCAGTGTTCAATACATCTTTGTGGTCAGTCCTCTAAGTCATTCTTTTCTCCCCCTTGGTGGGCTTTCCTGAGACAGCCCCTCCTTCTGCTCTCTTTTGCCCACATACACCCAGCCCGTAGGGAACAAAACTGAACAACAGTGAAAATTTCGTAAGTGAAGAGAGTCTGTTACTGTAAGAATACCTTCTCTTGGGTAAGATTGCTTCTCTGGGCATTCCTTTATTGGCTTTAAGTTGTAAAATCAGAATGCCAATAGAAATACACCATTTCCCATTACTGCCTAATGAATGTGAGATCTTTTGAAACCTTGCCCAGTTCCATCCCTGCTTTCTAAGAGTAAACCATAGGTTAAGGGTGTAGGGTCTGACCTAAACAAAATGAAAATGACTTAGTTTGACACTAACTTATTGAGGTCACTTATACTTTTTATTGAAATCAAGACTGAATAAAAATAATCAGTACGAATTTCTATAATTCAAATTTTATATATTTTATGTTATCGTTAATATGGTCTAATGTGCTCAAGGGAATCCCAAATAAGCTATTTATGTTTGTTTGAAAAAAAAATGAACATAAAAGGCATCTATATTGAAAACATTTTCAAAAAATACAGAAATATTTAGGAGTCACTGAGCCTTGAAATTGCCAGCCATTCAGCATCACATGCCCTTAGAGAACTCTCCTGTCAGACTCAGAACAATAAAACCAAGGGTTGGGGGATCTGCTTTGAAATTAATTAGATCACTTGCCCATTCACTGCCAAACTGAGAAATTTAATAATGGTAGATGAGCGTTGATTTCTTTCTTAGGATCTATTAGTTAAAAATACAGCTGATATCTCATTACTTGAGTGAGTTTCAAATTGTCTCCAAAGTACCAAAGTAAACATTTTCAACTTAGGTTAAAATCAACTGCTTCCAAAAAAGAAGACTGTTTAAAATGACAGTCACGGGCTAGGGTGTGGCTGCGGCCGAGCTCTTGCCTAGCATGCCAGAGGCCCTGGGCTCCCTCCCCTGCACCACCACTTGACAGCCGCACACAGCACAGGTCCTGAGCCCAGCACAGCTCACGGCTTCAGTGCAGCAGCTCACTGACACACAAACTGCCCTAGGTTTCAAAACCCCACTTATAAAACGAGGAAATGTAGGTTTAAATACACCAAATGACTTGCTTTAGACAACAAAGTGAAAAAATGCTGCGACCAGGATTTTCTCCAAGTCTGGTGAACACCAAAGTCGGGCATCTCCTGGCCTTTGCCTGCTTCTCCTCGAGGAGCAACAGCTGGCCACCTGTCCGTACTGGGGCTTTTGTTCTCAGTTGTGCAAAGTTCAGTTATTGGAGATCCAGTCCTCTACAAAACCAAAATGCCAGGTGGACAGTGGGATCATTGGTCTCCTCTTGGGGCAAGGCCACTTATTGCCCGCAGAAGTGGCGACCATAATTGTAAGAGCACACCTCTGTGTAACCGCCCACCAGGAAGAGCATGCAAAAGTGGGGACCAGTGGACAAAACCAGCCATCAGCCAGGGACCACGTGCTCCTTTTATTCACATGCTCACAATGTCACAGGCTCCAGAGACATTTACTACAGGATAACTGCAGGGGGAAATCCCCATGCTAGATATGCTCAGGACATGCTGCAGGTGCCCACCAGGTCCTTCCCACTGTCCAGGGGCAGCACCAGAGCGCCTAGAGGTCCTGAGCAGGAAATGAAGCTCCAGGTGCCGCCCCCTCCCCAGCCCCTGCACAGCCTGGGGGCACCCTGGTGAGCTGTACAGGAGACCAGGACGGCTTCAGGCTGGATTGATGTGCCCGAAGCCGGGCTCCTTGAGGCTGGGGATGTCGTTCTTCCTGTAGAAGTCGGCCTCCACGTGGTTCACTCGGTTGTGGTCCCGGTTCAGGGGCTCCACCGGCTGGTGGATGCGCTTCCCATAGACAGAGGACATCAGCACTCCCACGGGCCTCTCCTGCTCCTGGATGTGGACAGACCTCTTGTTCAGCTTTCCCAGTGCTCATCAGCACAGCCGGCCCACCCATCAGCCGCCCAGGTGCCTGCCCCCACCCAGGGCCTCCCCAGCTTCCTACAGCCTCCTCCACACTGAAGCAGAGGGTCCTCTCAGCCATGTCACACCCTGTCCCCTTCTCTCAGAACCCTCCAAGGTCCTCAAGTCATTCAGAAGAAAAGGCAAGATCCTGCCCCTGGGGCAGGTACCCTGACCTCAGCGTCCTGCTGCTCCTCCGTCCCCTCCCTCCCTGCCTGTCACCCTGGCCCTCCTGCGGCCAGCCTTTCTCCCTCCCCTCCTCTCCTTCCCCAGCACCACAGCAGCGCTCTCCAGCCTCTGGGCCCTTGCTGGTACACAGCTCTTCTTCCTGGCCACATCTCTAACCTGCTTCTGCAGGGCCTTCACTCCACCGGGTCTCAGATGCTGCTGTCCTCCCCGACCCCTAGATGGCTTTCTTTCCTGCATGCACTATCACCTCCTACACTTCTGCTCACTATTTCTCTGCTTTCTGATTTTCTCTCTTGGAGGAGTGTCAGCTCTAGAGGCCAGAGCTTGTGTCCTGTTCCCCTTTTGCTCAGGGACACACGGGAGACAGCCCCGGGTAAGGAGCCGAGCCTCGCTCTCCTCATGAGAAAGGCACTATCTTCACTGCCAACTCAGAGCATCAGGGTGGAGGGAAGCAGCAGCAGTGTCCGTGACGTGGTACCTGCACCACCTTACTTCATGTCAAGCAAAACAACTGGAAAACGTGCTGAGGGGAGTATAAAGAAAGCACACAGGCAAAATCTGTGACCCACGTGGAGGCCCCCCCGCGGCGTTTCCACTGCAGTTTCTGTGCAAGGTATCAAGGGAAGACCACACTTCCTCAGCACCTTCTTGTGTAAACCCACTGTGCGCAGATCAGACTTTGAAAGACAATGGCAGAGCACGGAAAGGCTGTGGCAGGGTCCACCTGGAGGCAGACAGGCCTGACCAGGCTGAGGAGGCACAGCCCCTGGCATCCCTCCTGCCAGGATCCCCACCCCCTCACCCTGCAAGACTCAC